AAGTTACTTAAAATATTAAATATTTAGAAAACATTAAAAAAAAATTACAAAACTATTTGTAAAACTCAAAACCAAATAATAGTGCTAAGAACAGATTATAAGAAATATAGATATGAATCACAAAAATCTATTGATAGACTTAAATTTATTTTGAATGTAGAACCACCATAACTGAGTTTTAATCCCATGCATCATCATTGCATTTTTTGTGAACTCTTTCACGATCATTTGATGATCTTAGCATAGCTCAAAAGCAAAACCCAACAAAAACAAAAAAAATGCTCTCAAAGTTTGCATCCTATAAAGCCCACATCATTCTGAGCAGACCCAATGGGCTGCTGCTGCTGCTGCTTGCTTACCAACATAAAAGCCCCAGTTTCCCCATGCTTCCGCGACCAGCATCCTTCAAACAACCCATCCAGCACAACCGTCAAATCAAAGGGCGGAGCATCGTGGCGAGCCACCGATCAACGTAGAAGAATGGTCTGGCTACACTCCTTGTGAGGCCCAGTAGAAGTGACCTCAATGTACTCGCAAAACAGCCGTGATGGGCCCCTGACCCATCAGAGGTGAGGTTGAGGTGGCACAATGGGCACCGATGCATGGGCCTCGCCCACTGAAGATGTCGAGGTTTCCCATCTCAAAGTAGTCATGGTTGCGGCCCATTAAGCCCCCACAATTCCAAATTTGGGATCCACACTGATCGGCCACTTGAGTCACCTAAAGTCAGCTAATCACCGAATCTGTTCCTGATTTGATGCCTTGAGCCTGTTTGTACATAAAGTGTGTATACACACTCATTTGGTATATCTCTGTATCAAATCACAAAGGTTTCATCAAAATTTTTTTTACCATGTCAATTGCAAATATTATAGATTCTCATCTATTTGCAATTATTTTTACTTGTTACCAATTTTTTTGCAATTTTTTCCCCCCGTGTAAAATGAGGTTAAAAGTTCAACATTTTTTTTTTTGGCATACATCTAAAATAAAAATGATATATATATTTCCAAAATTTTATACATAATTATGAGAAAGAAGCATGACGTGACATTGATATTTTCAAAAAATATAATTCATCATAATCGATCTTTTGCTTTAAAAATGATAAATCAACCACTTGTCACATAATTTTATATAATTTTTTCTATTTATATGATATTACTCCATACAAAAAATATTATAGATCTTACTATTTAATGGAGGGGAAAATTAGTCTAAACCTCCTCAACAATCTCATGAACCAATATTGAGAATTGTTATATATCATTGATTTTTTTGTCATTATTTTATATCACCTTTCATCTACGTGGATATTAATGTTTGATTCTCTTGGTGATAATTATTCAGGACTTAATAAAATCAAACAATATCTTATTACACTAATATGATAATAATACAAACTATTAAAAAAAATGACATATAACAGTCATCTGTTATATTTGTAGGTGTGTATATACATTATGGATGCAATGCAACAACAAATGAATGAAGAGAGCATTCCCAGTCCGATCTGCATAGTTGAGGATGATAAAATGTATGATAAGGGATTGATAATGATGTTGATTGTTCACCATTGATCATCATCAAAACATCCTTATTAGATCTGATCATTGATATTGATTTTATTTTTATTTTTTTATTTTTATTTTTTTTTTTTTGAGAAAAAAAATTGAGATCCAAAGAAAGAAATGGTGAGTAATTAATGGGGTACTTACAGAAGAGTCTCCGGCAGCAGCTCAGAGAGGAAGACGGCGATTGAAATCACGGCAAAGAAGCGGCAGCTCATCATCACCATCATCTGCATGATCTGTTTTTTCTGTGTGTGTGTGTGTGTGATGTATAATGTGATGGAGGTTTGGGATAGAGGAGGAGGTGCAGTGTAGGATGTCATTTATTACATACAGTGAGAGCAAACTTCTTCAAAGGACATATGTACCCCCTCTCCCATTTTTTTTTAAATTTTTATTTAATTAGAATATGTCAAATAATAAATAAGAAACCAGAAAATAATTATAAATTGATAGTGTGGACTGGGAATACGGCTATTATAACAATTAAAATCAAGCCAAGTATTAAGTTGTTTTAAACTTGAAAAACTTAATAAACTTAATAAGTTTTAAAATGTGTTTAAACTTCTTATTTACATAGCGAACATGAACTTGATGAGTTTCAAAATATATTTAAATTTGACTCCTTTTATATAATGAATCAATCTCGAATAAATTTGTACGAAACCAACACAAAATTTAATTCGAATAATTTAATCCGTAGACATACCTTCACACAACTGACAAGGATGACGAAAAATAACAACTAAAGTTCTCAAAATTATATCCTGCTATTACTTTATTGATTTATAATATTTTATTGTTTTTTTTTTTTTTTTTATAAATATACTTAATCTAGATACATTTAAACAGTAAAATATCTGTGAAAAAAATCACTAAAATACAAAAATTTACAAAAAAATTTATTACATATTTTTATTTATTGATTTTTTAAAAATTGGACATTGAAATTGATTATTTTAGCCAAATAGGATAAAATATTATATCTAAATCATAATCATTTCATTTTTTCTCTCATAAAAATCAAAAAAACTAAAAAATTAATTTCAAACGAGACTTTTTAATCCCATATTAAAATAGTCAAAAAGCTAAAAAACTTAGAGTATGTGTTGGTTTGCATTTGGGAGATGAGTTTTAGAAAAAAAAAAATTTTAAATTGTTTGGTTTGAGTTTTTCTCAAAAAAATTTCAAAATCATTCTCTCTCTTACATATCAATCAACCACTTTTTCTCTCTCCTTTCTTCTTCTCAATCACTTTTTCTCTCACACACATCTACTCAAATTCTCTCAAAATATCAAATCATCCCAAACTCCTAAAAAAACAACTCTCCCAAAATATACAACCAAACAAACCAAAAAAATTTCTAAACTCTCTCCCCAATTTTTTTTTTCAAAAACAACTCTCCTAAAAACAAACCAAACAAGCCCTTAAAAGTTAACTCACATCCCAAACGGAGGTTATAATTAGTGTCTCTACATTACTTGAAACTATTCTTACTCACGCATCTTCAACCCATCTTTTACTTTGTACAAGGCTTCATTTTTTTGGCGAAAATTATTTTTATTTTATAGTTTTAAATATTTTGTACAACAAAAAATAAAAATTGAAAAATATGTTTTTTTTTGGTTTGTTTGTTTGTTGTTGTTGTTAATTGAAAATAAACTTATTTTGGCAAAAGGGGTTAATCACACCAAGACCTCTTCAGCTATTAACAAATGGGTGATGATTGAGACCCCCTCCCATCACCACCCCCCACACACACGTGGCGGGTGGTGATTGGAGGAGAAGGGGAAAAAAAAAAAAGTGACCAATCATGGGAAGAGGGGGTCAAGGGGGTGAGAAAAAAAAGGGGTCCAAGTCATTATTGTTAACGAATATCCACTTATTCCTTCATTTATTTTTTAGCTTTTATGATTAGTACGAAAAGATATACAAAAAAGTAGATAATGTGACAATAAGCCAATAAGCTGCTCATTTCTTATGTACCTAAAACAATTCATATTTTACTCCTTAAACTATAAAAAAAATATCACCTTTACTTCCTGTAGACAACTTTCAAAAGGGGAGTATTTGCATAATTTTATACTTGAGTTGAGAGAGTTAACATGTACGATTTCATATAGAAAAATACTAGAGATTCTAAAAGTTTTATCAAAATTTCTACCAAATGTCTCACATGTATGGAAGATCCATGGGTGTAGGATCCACATCATGTGAGTCCCACACTCATATGCAACATTTACTAAAAATTTTGGTAAAACTTTTACAGTCTCTAATTACTCTTTCATATACGAGGGATAAAGTGACAATCACTAATAATTAAGAATGTCTTGATGTAATTAACCCAAAATATACTTTTCACTTTCAAAAGGCAAAATACATTTTTAGGCTAGAGGCTCATGAATATTGCCACTCTATCACCACTGCCATTACCTCTATTATCCCACCACAACTACCATGATTTTTGATATATTGTCATCGCTACCACTACCACAACTCATACAACATTACAAGAATTTTCACTTTTGGCGACTAAATTTTTAGTCGCCAAAAGTCAATTTTTAGTCGCTGAAGGGCTTTAGCGGCTAAATTTTTTGGTCGCAAAATTAGTAGCCAAAGAGTAGTCGGGAAAGCTAATTGGCGATTGAAATTATTTTAATCGCCAAATGTATTCATTTGTCGACTAAATATTTAGTCGCCAAAAGGTTGGACATTACATTAAATTGGACCCTTTTCGGCGACCAAATTTTTAGTTGCCTAAAGTCCCACCTTTTTAGCTTTTAAAATTTTAGTCGGCAAAGAGTTCCTCTTTTGACTACTAAATATTTGGTAGCCTAAAGTTTTACATTTTTGGCTACTAAAATTTTAGTCGGTAAAAGTGTGTTTATAATTTAGTTTTTTGTTTTTAGCTACGAAATATTTTAGTCGCCAAATGTTTAATTTTCTTTTGGCTACTAAAGTTTTAGTCGCCAAATGTCTTCTTTTTTTTTTTGGCTACTAAACTTTTAGTCGCTAAATGTCTTTTTTTTAAAATAGATTATACTCAACAAAGTGATGTAGCATGGCCTCTCATGAGACTTCCAACAAACAGATGTTGAGCAAAAAATCTTACTGATAGTAAGATTTATTCTTGTTACAAATTGATGAAAAGATCTTTACACCTTTCAAGGATTCAGGGATTGAACCTTTCATGAAACTAGAATACAAGTTTATGAATCTCAAATTCAGCAAATTCCCAAAGCTCTCTGGTATATCACCAGTGAAACTATTTTGGGAGAGTTCCAAGTATTTAATGAGACTACAATTACCTAATTCAGAAGGGATTGAGCCTGTGAAACCATTGTTGCTGAAATCAATGGACTTCAATTGGGTCAATTCTGCTATCTCAGGTCCTAATCAACCCAATATTTGAAAACCAGAGAGGTTTAAAGAAACTACAAAGTGGTTGTGGTGATGATTGGGGTCATATTCGACTCCAACCCATGAACAAGGAGTGGAATCACATTTGACTTCAATTGAATAATTTTGTAGCCCCAAATTCAATTAGTCGTATGATAATCAATCGCAAAAATACACAAACAAACTCAGAAAAAAAAGAAAGAAAAAATTAAAAATTACGATGAGAAATGATCAATCTCGTACCTATAGATACAATGCTATACAACAAAGAGCAAGCACGAATCTCTGTATGCCATTCCCAGCAGCTTCGTATTGGATTTCTTGACCTAGCGGCGATAACAAATGACTCGGCGAGACATACAATTCCGGCAAATTCTCCGGCGATAATGAAACATCCGGTGACTGAGCGCCACCATCAGCGATATCAACGATTGGGTTCTTCCCAAATATCTCTCTCAGCAACAAAACTCTCGAAACCCCAAAAATCGCAACTGGGTTTTGATCAAACACAGTCTGTGTCACCGAAGCCTGAATGATTCCTATATCGATCGCCACTGACCCATTAACTGTAGAAATGTTCAGTGTGAAGCGTCCGGCTCCCATGTCCTCCGTGGCCATGGTGGCTTCAACCGGGTTCACAATCGATTTGAGGGAGCCGAGAGGGTAGTATGAGTAATTGATTCTGTGTGAGAGAGAGAGACAGAGGGAGAGCAAGAGAGATAAAGAACCGTGTGAAGAAGTAATAGATTTGGGCAAAAATTTAGGCGCCAATATGAAATTTTTCCCAGTAAAATTTTGAACAGATCTGGCGACTAAATTTTAGTCGCTGAAGATAGGTTACCAAAGATTAAAAAAAAAAAAAAAACTTTTTGTCAGCTAAAGGCGACTAAAATAATTTTTTGTCGCTGAAAGTAATTTTTTGTTGACTAAAACTTTAGTCGCCAAAGAGAAAAAAATAATTTTTTAATTTTTCACTCGGCGACTAAATATTTTAGTAGCCAAAAGTCAATATACAGCGACTAAATTTTTTTTTTGTCGCTGAAAGTAAACTTTTGGTGACTAAAACTTTAGTCGCGAAAGAGAAATTTTTTTTTATTTCTCATTCGGCGACTAAATATTTTAATAGCCAAAAGTCAATATATAGCGACTAAGTTTTTTTTTTTTGTCGCCAATTCTGGCATTTTTAGCGACTAAAATTTTTTTTAGTCGCCAATAATGAATATACCCCGACTAAAAAAAATTAGTACTGAAATATTTTACTTTTGCCGACTAAAAAAAATGTTGGTCGCCAATTTCATAACTTTTAGCGACTAAATTTTTTTTAGTCGCCAATATTGGTCGCCAAATGTGCATTTTGTTGTAGTGCAAACCCACCACCATTGCCACAACTACAATCACTACTAAGTCTGCGCAAAACACTATCCAATTCGTTAAAATCGCAACGATTCATATCGTTCTATCTACTAATCACAGATTAAACTTTAAAATTTATAACCCGTCTTTGAAATTGCTCCACTATAGTTAATATTTATATATATATATATATTTTTAACCTCTAATGAAATATTAAAGTAAAAATGAGTGTGCGAGAGATTTAAGATGTGATAAGTTAGTAGTTATATATATAAAAAAAATTATGTAAAATTAATTTGTGTTATATATATGAAAAATATTATGTAAATTAATGTTATATATTATGCGAATACTTGATATTTGATTAAAAATATTATTGAATCTACCCATCCGCTCCAAACTATTAAAATCGCGATTAGTTATTTGCCAATTCTTCAATCCGAAATTAAATTTATAATTTTACTATTAAACCACCTGAACCGTACTGCACAGACCCCTAATCACTATCAAAAAAAATTATCCAACATGGTCAATCATTAATCATAGCCTAGATTTTTCTTTTTGTTTATTTATTTTGCTTTTCTGTAATCAATAATAGTAATAAAATGATATGGGAAAAATTAAAAAAAAAAAATTGAAAAATTTGCCCATAAATCTCATATGGGAGAAGGTTGATTTATTTAATCTTAAGAGTTTTCTTATGAACTAATTAATTCTTTTTATTTTGGAAAGTTGTATTTATTTATTTATTTATTTTTTAGATAGTCAAAAGTATAAAGGAACAAGAATAAAAGACTCAACAAGATGCCTCCCTCCTAACGAGAGAGCATAACGACAACGGAACCTCCTCCAACCATATTGAGAAGCCATCTATAGCAGTTGTCATTCGAGCTAGACAATGGGCTACTGAGTTCCCTTGCCACTTCACATGCTTAACTTCCTAGGATTGGAATTTGGCCAACAGAGACTTGGCTTGCTCCACAAAGTGCCCAAAAGATGCCAATGACTCCGAGGAGGATTGAAGGGCTCGAATGATCAATACCGAATCACCTTCAAGAATTATGTGGTGCAATCTCAGATCCAATGCAAACTGAATAGCTGCAAGTGCTGCAAAGGCCTCAATACATTCCATATCCATAACTGGTTTTCTGTTCGCCTACATGGCAACAATCACTTCACCCTTGTGGTCCTGAACCACAATCCCAACACCAAACAGTCCTTCTTCTGCAAAGCAAGCCCCATCAAAATTAATCTTAATTAGCCCTTCCTCAGGAGGTATCCATCGAGATTACATTGGAACATTCTGTGGCACCCGAACACAACACTAGACTGCACAAACTGCTTGGTAATACCTATATGCATAACGAGCTAGCTCCACCTCATATTGGAGCTTGTTATTGAACACCACCTGGTTATAGTGTGTCCAAATACACCAACAAGTCACCAAAAAAAGCTCCCCATTCGCAGAATCAAGATACCAAATAAGCTCAATAATCCAGTCGAACAATGCCCCACCCTGTTGTCGATGAGCAACCAAAGCATGGCTACTGAATTCCTACACCTTTCTGGCAAAAGGGCAATAAAAAAGATAGTGATGAATTGTTTCAGAATCCTTATGACATAGACCACAATCATCGTTGGATAACACCTTTCAGGCCCGCAATTTAGATCGTATCGGTAAAATTTTCAAACACATTTTCCAACCGAAAACTTTAATCTTACCAGGAAGCCTCATATTCCATAAGTTCTTTCAAAAACCAGCCCTATCCCCACCACCATCCGACGAGGAGGCTTGCTGATACCTACTAGGAATACCCATTTCAAGATAATAAGTCGATTTAACAGAAAACAACCTTTGTTTTTTGTAATGCCACACTAATGTGTCCTCCAACAGATATGGGCAAACACATATAGATTTAATTACCTTAACTTCATAGGATGGGAAACAAGCACCAAGAATTTCAACATTCCAATTCCCCAGATCATGATCAATCAGTGCACTCACCATATCATTTACACCTAGGTAAGTAGGAGGGGAACATATTTTGAATGAATACGGCCGCGGTACCCATTTTTCATTCCATATTCGGATTTGAGCCCCATTTCCAACTCTCCACCTTAATCCTTCTAACAGAACAGATCGCGTATTCCAAATGCTCTTCCACAAGACATTCCATATTCGGATTTGAGCCCCATTTCTAACTCTTCATCTTAATCCTTCTAACAGAACAGATCGCGCATTCCAAATGCTCCTCCACGAAAATGATGGACTCGTCCCTAATGATGCTTCAAGAATCGAGTAATTAGGATAATATTTAGCTTTCAAAACTTGAGCCACCAAGCTGTGGGGACATAATTTTTGAATGGCAACACGTGGCTGAGGTGGCACCGAAGTGTCAGCCGAAGTGCCATGTGTCCTGATCATGACGCCGAGGTGATCTCGGATAGGTCGAGGTTATCTCCGAAGATACTGGAGTCCGGGATAAGTAGATAAGGGACAAGGGTCCTAGAACGAGAGAAGGCTTCAGTTTGGATAAAGATAAAACTCTCAGAGAGTTTATTCCAATCCTACTAGGAGTCCAAGATTAGCAGTAATCCAGAATCTATTGGAGCTAGGCTTCTAATAGGATTAGGTTTGTGTTGGTTATAAAAGAGAGGCACCCCCATGGGTCTAAGGTACGCATTTTATATGCTGAATAGTGAGTTAAGCACTTTTATTATCTTTGAGAGATAACTGACTTGATCGTCGGAGTGCCCCCGGGTGGATGAACCACCGTCGGAATCTCATCTTTCTGTTACAGGTCATTCAAGCGTAATCTCATTTTTCCAGTGCTTCCAGTTGAATACTAATTTGGTAGTGTGGTCAGAAATCTACTCACACAATTTGGCGTCGTCTATGGGAAAGAAAGGAGAATAGATGGCTAGTAACGGACAGAAAGAGAAGGTTGGGAACCACACTCCTACTGGAGTGGGAAACCTATTGACCTTGACGTTGAAGAAGACAACGACAACGACGAGACTCATGATAAGAATCACAGAGAGAAGGACGTCGGCCAAGAGGGCGACGTACCAAAGAAATTAGACCGAGGCGGGTATTATAACAAAGACGACCTCCAAGTATGGAAAAATAGATGCCTACGGAGGGACGATGAGATGGAGGAACTGGCAAACAAATTGGCAGACCTACAATCGGTCATTAATTTCATGATGCAAAACAACATTATGCAACCACCGTTTCCGTTACAAGATACGCCGATTCCAGCGGCCAAAAAAAATGCCCAGCCAGGGAGACAAAGGACAATTCATGCGGCTCCTCAGCACGATAGAACCGAGAAACATTCTCACCGGTCTTCAAGGGAGGTCGGGCGAGGAGAATCAAGAAGGAGAGATTCACAGAGGACGTATCGCACCAAGGAAGTTGACCCCAAAGAACATCAGCATGTTCCGGGGAAGGAGCTATGTTTCGACGCAACCAACGGAGAAAGGTCCAAAAGGACTCACAATGATACTAGAAGCAGCACACCAAAAAGGCTGAAATCCGTTGATAGCCGAGCTCCTGGAAGGACCAAGGAGGATCTGAGGGGTTACTTTTAGAGAAAACAACAAGATGCTGAGATAACCTCTCCGGTCAAGCCGAGAACACCATTCTCGGTGGAGTTGAAGAAATTTGAAGCCCCGAAAAGGTTCAGTATGCCGAGGTTACAGATATACGACGGTAAGTCAGACCCCAACTTTCACATCGGCTTGTACCTGAACTCAATGGCATT